GTTGCAAAAGCCCATAAAGTTGATGATATGAGTATTTAATCTAAAACAAATTTCACAAGATTAAAGCAGTGTTTTGACATCTTTTTAAATTTGAAGCCACGAAAGAATTCTTACATTGATTTTTTTTTATTTTTTTTTATCTAAAATATCATATTATTAGAAAGTAATGTAGTGCTTGTAGTGTATGTACTTATGTATGACCTTTTAGAATATAAAAACGTCTTTTATTAAAAAGAAGCTTGTTTTAAAAGCTATATGTTTTAATTACTATAAATTTTATTTTAAACATCAAGAACAAGAGGATTTTAAACTTATTTAAACAAATTTTATAAAAAAATAGTATCAATTAAAATTATTGATTTAATGGCTTAAAAGTGTAATTTCTTTAATTTTAAAAGTATGGTCTATTATTGATCATAAGCCACATCTTATTCTTTTGGTACAAAATAAAATTATCTAAAAAAAGAATTTATAAATCGTTGTTTTTTTTTAAGATGATACATGATATTAAATACAAAGTATAATAAAGACATACTCATATTGACTTAAAAAAAATTGAAGATACATACTAACATGACTTATTAAAGACTCTTATAATTAGTATAAAATATGGTTAAAAAAAAAAGCACCTTCTAGATAGTAAAGCCATTTAAAAAAAGAATCCAAAATTATATATATATATATATATATATATATATATATATATATATATATATTTTGTGAACCTCATTATTAATCTTAAATTTTAAGAAATTTCTTGAATAAGAAACAATAGAATGAAGTCTATTATTTGCATCTATTGGTAATATAACCACACAGAATACAAATCTTGATGCATCTATTTCTATAAAACATATCTTTAAAAAATCTAGGAAATATAAAATAGGAGCTCAAATAAAAGTTATTTTGAAACCTTCAAATGTTGCTTTTGCATTGTTATATTTTTTAAGTATGTATTAGATATTAATCGTCTAAGCAAAGCAATAATTTTAGAAAAATTCTCAATAAATATTGTATAATAGTTTGTAAATTTTAAATAAACACTAGACATATTGTATAATTTTTGATATTTTTTAATACATTATAATATATTTTTTCTTAGAATCTATTTCTAAGTTTCTATTAAAAATAATATATTCCAAAATCTCTACTTAAATTTTGTGAATGGTATATTTTTTTATCTTGACATATATCATACATCTTTAAGTGTTTTTTAATGTAAAATAAGTATATTATTTGAGTTCATTTATATTCTTAGAATAGATAAAATATATCAAAATAACATACAATAAGGTTATTTAAAGACTTACAAAATATATTATTTATTATATACTAAAAAAATCAAAGCATTTTGAAGTCCAAAAAGCATGAAATTATATTCAAAATGGCCATTTCTAATTTAGAATATAAATATTTATTTCTTTCTTTCTTTTATACATACTATATTATGGATTCTTTATAGATTTATTTAAAAATAGATCTTAGCTTAATTTAATTGATTAAAAAGCTCTAATATTGATTCTTGATGGTCAATTTTTTGAATCCATCTTTATCTATACACATTTGTAAGGATCCATCTTTTTCTCTATAGAGGAGATTAATGCACATGTATGAAAATTTGAATGTTCTATTAACTGTGTTACAAATTGTTTACCAGTATATTTTTCAAAGAAAGAAATTTATTCTACAAAAAAATATAAATTTCTCCAAATGGTAGTTGAATTCTTTTTTGATGATTAATTACATAATCATAAGATTGGTGTTTAAGCAAAATATATAATTTTTTATTCTCAAAGATATCTCAATATTTCTTATACTACTTTATAATTCCATTCCAATCTTCATTTAAATGAAGACTTGGTTTTTATTGAATAAAAAATGAATCTCCTTCTTTTGTGACTTATATAATGTTTTAGCTCCAAAAAATAAAAACTGAAATGATTTATTAATATTTAGACTGAATATTGAAGTAATTATTTGTAATTTTCAAAGAATATCAGGATTGTATAATTCAAACTATGGAAGACTAAGTACCACTAAATATAAAGAACATTGCATGATGTTGAAGATAAAATAAAATATATTATAGCTTGATACTACATTCGTTGGCTTAGTCTCTTCTATAAAATCTCTAATTGTCAAAGATATAAATTACAAAGAGCCAAAGGATCAATAAATTCTTATATCAAAAGAAAAGAGTACTCAATCATTTAAAGATGGTATAATATTAAGACTAAAATGGCTATTGCCAAAGATAAGATTACTAGAGATATTTAAAATAAGACTAAAAATAAGAAAGACATTAACAAGAGTGAGGAAGGCCTTATTGTTGCATCTATATACACTATCTAAATAGTATCTATGTAGCAACGTTCTTAAGACACTTAGACATGTGTCCAACTTGCAAGACATGTTTTTAACTTGCAAGTCAAGTTTCTTACATGTGTGCTATATATCCAATTTGTACCACAAGTCACTAACATGTATGACATATAGCCAACTTGTTGGCTAAGTTTTTAATCTATCAATGACCTATAAATATATGTAAAGTCAAATCTATATTTATAATGCTTCTAAGAAACTTTTCCACAAGATATCATCAAATTTATTTGCTTCTATTTACTTTTGTCTAATTTCTTAATCAAAATAAATATATATGCTTTTGACATTAAATAGAAGTGATTGTCCATTAATAACTTCTAATAGAATTAGTTGGATTTTCTTTGAAAACATCAATTGTTGTTGTATTATAAATTTTTTAATTGCACTTTGTTAAAGTCAATTGTTTTCAAAGAGTCAATTATAATATATAATTATTTGAATAATAAATTATTTTAGTGAATATACTTTTGAAATTATCAAAAATAGATTTATCATTATCTTTTAAGTTATATTGAAATTAATTGATATGAGCTTCATTGTTTTAATCCATGTTACAAATAAGTTGTTTAAACCTTGCAACACAAATAGCAACTAAACACAACCTTTGTTGGAAAGATTATAATTTTATTTCTAATACATTTTAAAAAAAAACTTCAAATGTAATTGTAAATAACTTCTAAAATTGAATTTGTATTATTTAAAATTTATAAACTCTTATCCATTAAAAAAATAAAAAATTCTAAATAGAATTATGTCTATAAATCTTACTTCAGTGATTTTGTTAGAATATCAAGAAGGATGTAATCTTATAAAGAATTTGACTTATTATACAATTATTTAAAATTTTAATCTTTTTCTGTTAAACCTCTTTGAATTATATCGATCTTTAACTCTTTTATACTTGTAGTAGCAAGATTTTCAGAATTCATTTGTAAACTTGATATATATATATATATATATATATATATAATTGCTCAAATTTTTAGAAAAAATATTAGATCTTATTATTGACTTCTTCTATAAGCATAAAAATAATGGTTCTATGGTAGAATTTCTAATATATGAGATTTCTTTGCAAATTATCTTAACTTTTTTGTAAAAAACTATAATAGTTACAAATTTTTTTTCACTACTACTAAGTGAAGCATCTATAATTTGTTTTCTTCTTCTATCTAAATAATATTTAATATCAAAAAATATAAAATTAAATTAAAAGAGGATAATTAGTAATTTCTTATAATTAATAAAAAAATTACAAAAAAATAGTCAATTTTTTTAAAATCAATATTAGAAAGCATAAATATTAGTTTGAAGATGGATACATTGCAACTTTCAAATATATAAAAATAATTTTTAATAAGTATAATAATTTACTTATATCATAAAAAATAAAATTAAAACCATAATAAGTTAATAGTGTTATCAAATTGTTAATGATATAAAGCTAGCTAGAAATCAAAAGACAATATACTTACTTGTCATTAAAAAAGAAAGAAACTAAGTAAAGAAGAGATAGGATATAGAATAGAAAAGAACCAAAATGACTATTGTCAAATACAAAGAGATTAGGAAGTCTCAAACTAAGACTAAAAATACAAAAAAGATATTGACAAGACAAAAGATTGCCTCACTCTTACTTCCATATGCATATTAGCTAAAAAAAGATCTTTTAAAATCTTCCTAGAGATTGTAAGGCTTTAAGCCTATAAATTAAGTTATTAGTTATTTTTTATATAACTTTTTAAAGTAAAAGATTTATGGGGTAAATTTTGATAACTATGTGACATATCTATAAAAGTCAAAGTATATAATCTACAAAACTTCTTTTAAGCTTCTTAAGAAAGATATTATCTCTCTAGTATGTTTCTTTTACTTACTCTTATTTACTCAAATAATATAGGTACTATTACATTTTTTGGCTATATGTAATAAAATTTTTAAAATATTTTTTTAGAAATCTTATTTATTATAAAATATTATTATATTGATTTTATAAAAATATATGTGCAAATTATTATTATAAGAAAAATAATTTTATTTAATTTATTTCATTTAGTTGCTCTTACAACTACATTAAAAATTAATCACATCTAAAATCTTTTTTTCTCTTTTTCTTTCATTATATATATATATATATATATATATATATATAAAATAAAAAAATTAAATAATAATAATATATCATTATATTTCAAGTTATAATTACATCTTATTCTTGTATTCTTGAATTCAAATTTAAGGATAAAATTAATAAGTACTTTGTGAAATTTGTCCAAGATTCTATGGCAATGGTGGTTTGTTATTTGTTAATAGTGACATGTTTTAATCTATGTATTCATTTAATTGTAAATAATTATCAATTAAGCATTTTCTTTTTATTAGGTCATCTTGTTGCATTTTTTTTTTTTTTTTTTTGAAAACTGATCAATAAAAAAAAAAGTGTATACAACAGTTTTATGTAAAATTTGATATACAAAAACACTAAAAGTTTGTTATTATAAGATGCAAAAAGAAACCTAAAGCTTGTGTGAATGGCCAGAAAAAAAGGGTTTGAGGGAACCAGGACTGCTTGTTTTGAGGGGCCTGCTGCTCAGGTGGTCCCCAAAAGTGGGCAACAACATTACTAGTTGGGTGGGTTGCCTCATTTGCCTTGCCCTTTTCTTTTCCTCTACTCCACCTCCACCAATACCATGCTTTACAGCACAAAGGCTAGTGTATTACCATCACCCACATTTTCCCTACTTGTAGCCTTTTGCCTATTCCCTCATACGTGTTTTATTTTTATTTTTAAAACATGTATATTCATATCCTCATTCCCAATATTGACCAGTGTGATCAACAATTCAGGTATGTCTGTAGATAGGCTCATTTCTTCCTCCATAACTCCAAAACAGTGACCTAAAAGTGGCAGATTTAATACTTAAAAAACAAATGAAACACAGAGAGAGAGAGAGGCTCAATTATCATAAACTTGACCTCACGTTGGTTGCAAACTAGTGGTCCCAAACCTCCTAACCACTTGATTTGCCCAAAGGGGGCTGCTGGGTTTGAACACTTTAGTGCTGGTTTTCAGAGTGTGAGAGGTGGAGTCAAAGAGCTCCACCTTATATGGAAGAAGCTCCACATGTTGAAGCGCATCACCATCTCCACCGTTTGCCTGCCTCAGTGTGCAACAATGCTTCTTCTTTTGTCTTCATCATTGGTGTTGTTGTTGTTAGTGTTATGACCCCCTTAAAGGGTTGTTTGGCAAAAGCCTATTGAAGCTCCCACAGCAGAGTGTCCAAGTCATGCTGTGGCTGGTGGGTAACACAGAGTGGGGGCCATAGGGGCAGCAAGTTGTCATTATCTTTAGAGTTCTCACAAGTTTGATTGCCAAGTGTTCTGTGCCCCCATTCAATCCACTTCATAAGTCCAGGTGGATTTTTTTGATTTTGGAAATACAAGTTTGGATTAATCATTCAGTGGGCCATAATTCTATTTTCCCACATTATGATTGGCGCCATATAGATGGCTATCTAGCTTGCCTTCAACGGTTTACTTCGTGGGAGGGTGCGTGTAGCTTTGTGGCTGAGCTTTGTAAACTCAGAAGCTGGAACTTGGGCTTTGCATTACTGGAGACATGAATGCTGTGTCTGCTCCTGTGATGAGATGAGACAGGAAAACTCATGAATACTCACATCCAATGGAAGGAAGATGAGAGAGGGAGAAAGAAAAAGTAGGGGAACTCCAACACTCTTCCACTTCATTTTTCAGGTCAACCACACCGCAGAAAAAGCTACCAAGTCTATGATTTCAGAAAAGACAAATAGTAGCAGTTAGAAAAAGAAAGCAGAAAAAGAAGATAATCAAATTTCTGTGCAAGTTCCGCAATTTTGGGTTCAACTTTGTTTTAGGGGAGACCATATTGTGGTTTTAATCATGCTTTAAATCCATTAAAGCCCTGTTTTGAAGTGATGGATATCTTTATTTTTAGGACAAATTCATTAAATGTTTGTAACTTACTTGAGAGAGTTCTAGAGAATGGATCTTCAAATTTGGAAATCTGTGAACCTTCGTCATCAAACACTTGGGGACCCTTTCGAAGATGACCCATCCGTGATATGCTAGAATCCGAACCAGAATGAAACGATCCTTTGACTTGCATTCAAAAGTGTGCTTCTCTGTTAACATGAAATAGTTATAATTATTCGGTCGCCGGAACTGAAGAGTTTTTGGCAGTGGAGTCTCACTCTGTATTTCAGTGTTGGTGAAATGTATAGCATGATAGAAACTATGGATACATCTTGAAACGAAGAGAAAGAAAAAAAAATTGAGCTAGACTACCTGTATGAATGTGCTGCTGCTGCTTCTTCTTCGTCTTCTTCTGCTGAGGATAGGGACCCAGTAGATGTGGTATTTGGCACTGAATCGAGTCCGTCCGAATCTGCTCCTGGAGAATGAGAATTCCAGGTTGTAATAAACAAAATGCCATGGTGAAGGAGTGGCCACACATGCTGGTCTGCCGTCAGGGATAGAATGCGACACTGGTATTTTCCCTTGCCCCATGATGCGGGAAGTAATAGAAAGCGATAACTGCGAGAATAGGTCCTGCAGCGAGTTGAAGTGTCCCATGCCGTGAACAGAAGCGCGAGCTAGATGACGGCTCAACAATGGAGGTTGCTGGATCTAAATTTAGCAAGAAACGAACACCGTGCGACAGCCTGCAATCCTGTCATGTAGCGTTATTTTCCGTGTTCCGGCATCGTGCTCTGTAGCAGCGGCCAGGATGAGGAAAATGAGGCTCATTTAGGCGGCTGGTGACGACGCGGGAGAAGGGGGCCGAGACTAGAAGGTCCACAGAAGCATCAGCCTCCCTTCGCCTCGTTCGCTATCGTAGAGTTATCTGGGCTCTGCAGCTGTCCATCACCACAAGCTTTGTTGGAAAAGGAAGCGGCGGGATCACCTCCATCATCGGCAGCAGGCTGCAGCTCCATGCAGAGATAGGATCGTAGGACCAGAGCGATCCAAAAGCAGAGCAAATGAATGATTAAAGAATGGAAAAGATGGGAAACAGTAGTACCGGTTTCCTATCCATGACAGGGGCAGGCCGGCAATGTAGCTTCTCCCTAGGAGCCGGAGGATAAGGAATAGGACAAAACAGAGTGAGAGGGAGATAAAAAGCTCTGGAGCTTCATCATGACTCCAATCAGATCCCAAGTCTTCCTACAAGTCTACGACTCAAGCCCTCAGAACTCGACTCAAATTATTCTGTGGATAACAGTTGCGATTCATTCTCCCTGTGTTCTTCGGTGGCTCATCTGGAACGCCCAATTATATCTTCCAAAGTCATCCTGGAGGGCTTCCCTCCAGCGCCCAATTCAGCTCGACCACATGGTGATCTCCAAATGGCTCCCGCGGCTCATTCCTCCCACACCGTGCACAACAAAACCTCCACTAAAAGCGTGCCTATCATTCTGGCTTTCGCAGCAGTAACAGTCACAACATCTGGGCCCAGAGCCGTTCGCAGTGGAAAACGACGATCTCGACTCATGAACGTTCCGTGGCCGATTTTTCAGAAGCTGCTGGCCTCATTCCCTGTCTCCTCTCTCCTGGGCAATAAATACGCCTCCCTACGGAAAAATAATAAACTGGCAGGAGCGATATAGAGAAACTCCGAGGGTGGGTGATCGAATAGGCCAGTGTAGCCCAGCCGGCACTCCGTCCCTGCACTACATCTAGTACTGGAGGCGTCTAGTGGCCCATTCCTTGGGAACGCAGCGAAATGCCCCGGAAACCAGGCTTTTCATGAGTTTATTCGCGTTAGGGGCAAGTCATGCTTTCCTCTCCTCCTCCGTGAGGGCCTATAGCGAAGGCTCTCCCCTGCCCAGCTAGTCTACGCTGCACCCATCTCTATGACTCCCTCTCCCTCGCTGTGTCTGTATGTCTATCTTTCTCTTTGTCTCTCTATCAGTCTCTCTCTCGAGACAAACATTTAAGTATGTGTGTATGTATACACACATACATACATACATACGCTGCTGGTGCATCATCCTTGCGTGGAAGCCCTCTCCGAAGCATCTCCTTCCACTCTGCCATGGTTATAATTTTAAGCCATAATACCAACACCCTCTCTTCCACATGTGCTTGGTTGTGCAACATATCTCATTTTAATGTGACACCAGTAGAGGTAATTGAGTTTCTCGAATTGACAACAAAGGATATGATGCTCGTAAGTATTAATTTTAGGCTAATTTGTATATAATTTTAGAAGCTAAAGTACTAACTACAGTATATCATGTTCAATGTGTATTTTTAGCTTTTTCTTTTGGCTGTGTGGACAACACCAATTGTTTGTCATGGATTGTGCAAGGAGTTGTTGTAAATCTTGTTATTGTGGCTGGTGTCAGTGTTGTCTCGCATTGGGGTTCTAAGGGGGCTCAATGTATGTCATGTGGAATGGTCAGGGGCAAAGAGGACAGTGGATTTACAGGAGAACTCCTTAGGATTTGATCTCTTCGACAAGATTGTCCGTCGGTCATGCCAATACTTTTATGCAGTACAAAGAGGATATTGAGTAGGTGTTTACCTTTCCTGGTTTTGAGTATTAAGCTCAAGTGAAGGAATTTTGAGGAGCATTATATAAGAAACTTGGCTCTAGAACAGATGCAAGAATTTCATAAGTTAGTAGTTTAGCCAACGCTCCGACGCTTGTCATTGTAGACTTGAGAAGTCCAGTCTTTCAAAATCTTATATTTCAGTTGGAATTTTCTTGAGTCCAGCTGCTTTCCTATCTTGAATAAAGGTTGGTTCTTTCAAGGATTTCATGAAAATATTAGCTTGTTGTGCTTGAAATGAGATGTATCCAATTTCAACACTTCCGTTCTGATGTTTCTTTAGTATGTAGAAATGGTCTAATTTAATGTGCTTAGTGCGGTGATGCATGACTGGGTTCCTCACGAGTTTGATGCTGCTCATACTGTCACAAAATAGTAGAGCGGATTTATCTTATTTCACTTGTAATTCCTTCATTAGCCTCCAGTAGTATGTGATATTTTGGGCCCCCTTTGATAGTATACAGTACTCAACTTCAGTGGATGAGAGAGCAATTGTTGATTGTAATTTGCTTGACCACTCTATAGGGGAAGAGCCAAGCTTGTAGAGTATCCCAGATGTGGATTTGTGGAAATCATCTCTTGCCCAGTCCGCATCCATAAAGGCAATTAATCCTCTTTTACCCTAGGCAGGATAAAATATACCAAATTCCTTTACTTTTTTAAGATATTTGAGAATCTTCTTTTTTGCTATCATATGTGTCAATTGCAAGCTATGCATGCATCTTAAGATGCACACAACTACATATTGTATATTCCATCAATTGATGGTTGCAAATAGAAGGCCTTCTACCAAGCTTTGGTATAGTATAGGATCTATTGGAGTTGTCCCCATTTTCTTTTGAGGCTTTGTTTTTGGATTCATGGAAATTTTCAAAGATTTGCAGTGAATAAGATTGAATTTTCCTAACAATTGGTTTATATATTGTCTTTGATGAAAGTAGATATCTAACTTGTCATAGTAGAATTTGACTTTGAAATAAACTTGAGTATTTTTAAGATCAATCATTTGGAAGGTGCTCATCATGTTGTACTTTAGTTTTGTGAGATTATCAAAATCATCACTAGTGACTATGATATTGTCAATATATAGAAGAAAAATAATATAGAGGCCAAATTTGATAGTAAAGTATAGCTTTGGATCTTCTTTTGTTCTATTGGAGGACTTGGTTTTTGAGAAGAATAATAATATAGAGGCCAAATTTGATAGTAAAGTATAGCTTTGGATCTTCTTTTGTTCTATTGGAAGGCTTGGTTTTTGAGATAGTTATCTATTCTTTCGTACTATGCTTGAGGTGTTTAGTGCAACCTATAAAAAGCTCACTACAATTTGTGTACTTTTTTTGAACTCTAATTTTTTTTAAATTAAAAAAATATACATATATACATCTTTTACTAGTTTTCTATTTATAAAAATAATTTTTAAGTAAAAAGGTATGAATTGCCATTTTTTTCATGTGGCAATAATTATAACAATTTGAATGATTGACCATGAAACAATAGGAGCAAAGGTTTCAAAGTAGTTGATACCTTCTTCTTATTCAAAGCTTGTAGCTATTATGCAAGCTTTGAACTTGTTAAGTTTTTTGTTGGATTCCAATTTAATTTCAAAAATATATTTATCCAAGATTGGAATTTTGTGTACAAGTAGATCAACAAGAAACTAAATTTCATTTTCACAAATGGATTCTATTTTTTGACAAATAACATTTATCCATTCCAACTACTAAATAGTTTTTGAGTATAATTGTAGTTTGAGGGTATATTTTGTGTTGAGCATTAAACTATTATAATACTTTGTATTAGATTATTTTGTATAAGTAGGTATTCTATTTTGTTCATTGAATATACAAATCTACTTATATATATTGTTGTTGTTATTTGCACTCAATAGAGTTGGAATAAAATTGTTGAAATTTATTGAGAACTATATATGTTGTATTTGATGTACAAGTGATTCTTGCAAAAGTGGTGGTGGCGATATAAGTAATTATGTTCTATCACTTGATAAGTGTATTATGACAAAGATTTTTGCATTATTGAATATAACAATGTGTGGTTGGATTAATTCAAATTCTATTTGTTATTCTTTAAAGATGATGTTGCAGCTAATATGGACTTTGTTGGTAGTTGGATTGAATATATGCCAAGCCTTGCTTTCATTGTCATAGCCTAGGAAGTATTAACAATTGATTTTATTCTTAAGTTTGGTATATTTTTCTTTTAGTGTATATAGATAGGCTAAAAATCCTAATATGCAAAGATGTTCCACTGTTGGTTTAATATTCAAATATTGATACTTTGGTGTGATTTCAATAATTGTTCTTGTAGAACTAATATCAACAAGGTAATTAATAACATTGACTAATTTAATCTAGAAGAATTCAAGACATTTGTCATTAATTATCATACATCATATTCTTTTGATTACTATGTAGTTTCTTCTTTTGCTAGCTCCATTTTGGTGGAAGAATGTAAACCATTATGACTTATTGACATATCCTATAGTTGAGTAAGTAGTCAATAAATGTAGTGGAGAGATACTTTCTATCTCAATTTTTTTTAAAGCAACAAATTTATTTCTTAGTTTTATTTTCTACTTGATTTGGAATTTTTGAAATTTTTGTAAAATAATACTCTTATATCAAATAAAATATACTCAATTTTTTAAAGTAATAATCTATGATGGCTATTTAATATCTAGAGCCATTAAGAGACAAATATTTTATTGGACTAATTAAATCAGAGTAAATTAGTTGAAATATCTTATGTACTTTTTTTTGTGATACATTTGAAAAATTACATCTATATTGTCTTCTAGCCAAGTAGTTCCCCCATGTATATTCCATAAGTAGGAATTGTAATAGTTTTGTAATTCCATATATTTATGAGAGGTTGTAGAATAGATAAATAAATTTTTTAATAAGTTACTGGTTGGTTATTGACAACCTTGAGAATTAGACTTATAGTTAGGTAATTTAATTGATAACAATAGGTTTTTAGTGGAACAAATGGTTAAGAATTCAAAGGGTCATAACCTTTGGAATCTGCTGGCCGACAGTCCATCTTTTAGGTAGGATAAAGAGGTTGAGGAAAGAGAGATTGGAGCCAGACTGTGAGAGTCGTAAGCCGAAGTAAGCTTGGTGCTACCTCTTTATTTTTTTTGCTTTTATTATTTTCTTATGAAGAATTGTGATTGAGAGAAGTATTGTTGAAACTGTGATTAGAATATTGTGGAATATAACTTTGAACTGAACGATTTGGAGAAAATTTGTGACCTTGAGAATTGAGATTATCGAATAGTGTTGTGTTAAGTGAAGATATTGAATTCTGTATGATGAATTGAAAAACTGAATATAATAAGTAAGCTAGAGATCAGTAATTGAATATATATAAACCGCAAAGAAGGTAAGTGGGAGATGAACTGATAAGAATATGGAAGTATTGTTGAATTGATAGTCGTAGAATGGATTATGTGTTGAATTAAGATGGAAGTAGTAAGCCTTAGTGTTTTATAGTTTGATAATTGATTTTAGATAGCTAGAGTACAGTCAATTGTAACACTAAGAGACCCAATTCATATAACCAGTCTTTCCTCGTATTTGAACTCACCTCTATTAGTTCAATTGCTTTGGTATATTGAAGCTTGAACACAACGAGAATAGTAGAAGTATTATAGTCTAGTATAATAGAGGTGGCCAAATCATTTGTACCATATATATAAGTCTTCGTTAGTGTAGATAGTATTGATTGAATCTACAAGATTCTTGTGGTTATCAATTTTCTATAAATCTAAGCTAATTTTTCTATCTTCCATTATCAAAAAAAATCTATCATATAGATTGTTGAGGATTAGATATTGTTTCATCTATATACATATTTATTCCAATAATTATATATATAATTAAATAGAAATAAGTAAAAGTAGATTACTTTCATAGTATTTTTTATAGAAACTTCATAGATATGATGTAATACAGATAATTGGTGAAATAACAAAAAAATATAATATTTTAGAAGGTCTTATTTCAAAACATTATAGCAAATTATCTTAGAAATATAGATAATAGTCAAAGGGTAGTAAATTAAAAGTGCAAATGCTACTTTTTTACAAAGTGGGCTTCTACTTACTTTATAGAGCCATAAATAAGACAAAAAAAAATAGATTAGAAAAATAAAGAATAAAGACATATGTAAGAGAGAATTGAGAATTGATTTTAGTAAAAGTTGCTTCAAGACGACAAAAATTGATATCCAAAAAAGACCAATTGTCAATTTAGATCAAAATCAAATTATGAGGGATAAAATAAATATCTATGGCAATTTTAAGGTTCTTTTGAAGTTCAAAGAATAAGATTTGAAAGCACACTTAAGAAAAGATTTTTGGACATTGGTTTTATGTCATTTAAATCAATATTGAAATTTTGGATTATTTTCAAAGTTAGTGATGTTCTTGAAGGATTTAGGTTTTGAAAAATAAAATATGTTTATAACTTTGAGGGTTTCTTGAGATATATATTATTTATACAAATAAAATTTGGATAATTTGTTAGTGTGCTTGTTAAAAATGTATATAAAAAATTTGAGGTCAATTGAACAATTGGATTGAAGCATATAAGGATTTTTGTAAATTGAGGTCTCAAAAATTGGAGTTTAAGGATTAATGAGTATTTCTAAGATCTTTAGTAATTTGCTAATTGGATTGGAGTGAAAATTATTTATATAAATGATAGACTTAATTTTTAATATTTATATAAATTTTAAGAGCAATTCAACAATTTATAAAGGAAATATTGGTGCTGAAAGTTCAATATTAAAGTTGGAATAGAAGGCCACCGAACATCCCATTGGATTACCTTATATTTCTCTCAATTGGTAAATACAATTAATTTCATCTTTTTGTGCTTATTTCTAACTAATTTATTAAAAATTTTATAAAATTTAGATTGATATTAATAGTTTGATCATTAGATGTCAATCTTTTACAGGGTTTGTTAAGAGTTTGTTTAAGATTTAGAATTTGATTAGGATTTGTTTAAGATTTGATTTAGGATTTGTGTAGGATTTAGGATTTTTTTAGGATTTCATTAGGATTTGATTTAAGGTTTGATTAAGGTTTAATTAGGATTTTAATTAAGATTTGATCTAAGGTTTGATTAAAGTTTATTAAGATTTTAATTAGAATTAAATTAGGATTTTATTAAGATTTTATTAAGATTTT